GAGAAAACTCTGGAAAGAACATGTTCAGTTATATCTTTCCTTTTCTTTTATTCCTGTTAAGCTTGTTGACACCAAAAACTCCAGATGGTCGCTCAGCCTTTCAATGCATCCTTTTCAGGTTACTGTAAATTACTCTAGATTAAAAAAATACCAAGATGAGAACAATAAAATATAGTCTTAAAAGCAGTTAGGACTGCAAATAGGGCTGGTAATCGCAATATGGACCAGAGCAAAATCCAAATTGCAATAATCACAATATTTGTCAAGGCAAAACATGTGAAAATATGGGAATGAAGGATGTTGGGATGCAGAGTGGACCCAACCTATCATCGGTATAATGCATGATGACGTGTTCTGTAATTGACTGTGATTAATAGTTGCCATGGAATTGCTAATGTGCCCCAAAGGCAGAGTCGTATTAGCGAGTGATGATTAAATGTCCTCGCTGCGGCCTGCGGGGAGCTGTGGGCCGTGACAGTGTTTCAGCGGACAGCTGAGGAATCTTCCATCTCAGTCCTCATTTAAGGGCCACAACTGTTGTCTCGCCGGGATAATCTCAGGTCACATCTGATTCCGCTCACATTTAGCTCATTGCACTTTGTCTGCTCGAATTACGGGCCTGCTTACTGACTATTAAACCAAAATAAATAAGGGTGAATCGTAATGACTTTGGTGACAATAGAGTGCTGCAGTGATGACGTATTATTTTGAGCCTACCCAGATGTTAGCATCGCAAGTGGTCCCTCGGAAGAAATCAAATGTTCCCGTTTCTTTGGCAAACAAATGTTTGATGCTGAAATGTTTTGCTTAGCAGGATAAGCTAATAGTTGAAGCATAAATGCAAATGCCTCAAGTAAAAACACTGGGCTATAAATAAACTACATCACGCTCACATGACTTCACGTCACCAAGGCAGCTAAGGTCCGGTGTGATGATGTTAACTTGTTAGCGACGGCCATTTTTCGGACACAGAAAAGTCTAAGACATTCACGAATGTCATCTTTATTGATGTATTTTATGGAACAGAACAAAATATTTGAATCTTGTAAGCTTTTATAAACCACATACATTATTTCAGACATCTAACCCAAACATCATTCTAAAAAACATTGACTTCAAGACAAGGGAACCTGAAAGTGCTAAAAAGCCATTAGGTAATTATTTTTGCACCACTCATGCTTGTTGGCATGCTAACTTGCTCTACTAAGCGGATGAACATGGCGACAATTAAACCTTTCCAAGTATCAGCATGTTAAAATTCCCCCTATTAGCATGTTTCAATGTTAGCATTAGCGTGTATCTCAAAGTAATACGAAGCCTTATTGATAGTCACCATTTTGACTGTTGAGAAAGTAGTGAAAAGAGTTTTGACTTTTTTCTTGTTGTACATGAATTCCTATCTATTGCTTGTAATGCAGTAGAGAAAGACAAGTTAATGACATAGCTTCTCTATGACAGAATTCACAGTGTTGACATTTTAAGGTAGCAGGGACTTTCTGCTCTATCATGTCATACATTTTTGTCTCAGGAACAAAGAACATTTTTGTCCTTTTAACGAGTCCTTCCAAGAGAAGAGGACTTGGCAAGGAGTAAAGAAAGAAACTATTCTCTCCCCTGTGATCGAGCAAAATAGATGAAGCATGATCCCTAGGAGTGTTTCTTGAATATTTACAGCAAAGGAGAACAGAACAAATGTTGTCCTGCTGACAAAACCAAAGTCACAATTAATGATGAAGAGAAAGCTTGTTTATCGGCCCATGCGCTGGCTCAGAGGGAGAGTTTACACATTTGCTTTTTGTGGTTGGAAAAATAAATGCCTTTTGTTTATTGACATGGTTTGGTTTTAGAGTTTTGTTTCCTTCTTTTTTAAACCTCAAGGGAGCGTCGACAGACTTGGTGTTCCTCTGCTTTCTGTTTGGTGGTTAGCATTTTTAGTTTCCCACTGAGCAGGAGGTTTTGTAAATTAAATGCACACCTCAGCCCTCCTTGTTTAATCTCCTTAATAGTCAGGCCGGTAGCACACTGCGTAAACTCACACTGAGGAGCATGCATGGGGACTTTCTGTGTACCTGGAGTGGAGAGGTTTTCTTTGCTGAATTAATCCGCTTGGTTGATGTTTCCTCAGAAGTGCTGCTGAGTACCAAACATGCCCAGCAAACAAGCTGCGAGGAACCATGTCACATTTATTCCTGTGGTTTCCGGGGAGCCGTAGATAACAATTGTTGAAGTTAATGAGTTATCTATTGATTTTTTTTGTTACAAGATTGTGAAAGATTTGCTATAATTCGTTCCAAAGCCCAGGAGGACTTATTTAGTTGCGTCTTATGTTTAGTCAGCAGTTTAAAGCCCAAATGATTTTAAATCGCAATAAATGGAAACATTCAATACTGTCTTACATTGTGTTATTGGAGCAGTCCTGGCATTTGTGTTTGTCTTATGATTAGTAAGTGGTTTCTGATCTGGCAACATTTTTTCATTCCCTTTCCAAAAAAACATAAAGATCACAGTTGCAAAGTGTCATTTTTCCTCTGATGGGTTCAGGGTTCAGGTTGAGGAATATTCCGAATTAAATGATAGGAAAATCTCAGTTGTTGCCATTTAAAACCTTTTTATCTCTACAGGATCAAATGTTTAAAGTGCACCTATCATGCAATTTTTAGGCAATAGCATAGGTCTCAGATATATAAATATATAAAAAACATGTCTATGAAGTGTTTTGCTCAAAATACCAAACAGATCACCCATTTTAGCCATGCCTCATATCCCTCTTTTTCACTTCCTGTTTCCAAAGTGCTGATTTGGGGTATAAAGCTTTAAAAAAAAAAAAAGGAGGGGATGAAACGTCATATAATGGATTATCAAGGATTATTTCTGAAACCGTATGGAGCTCAAAGGCTTTCTCTCTTGCCGGTGAGTTCCTTTTTATTTCCAGCTTCTTCACACACATGCTCTCCAGTACTGGTTAGCTCTGAGTGTTAGCGATGCTAATGTAAACACCGACCATATTACATCTAAAACAGTCGGGCATTGTTTCTGATAGCAACTTTCTGATAGTGCCATGGGTCCACATTTTTTATAGGACGTCATAGCGGACACAAATCTGGATCAGCGCCCTTGTACCCCCGTTTTTAGAGATTTGGATACGGAGGAAAAGAGAGAGGGTTTTTTTTTTTTTATAAATGTACATATTTATGTATAAAAGACATCAAAAAGTGCATTTTGCATGATAGGTCCCCTTTAAGCTATAAATGTAAAACTCTAGTATTTACCAGTCACAATTCCCACTGATCTGCGTTCTCAGGACTGTTTTGGATGTGGTTTGATCACAACAAAAACCCTCCAACCTTCAGTGCACACAAGTTTTCAAACCAGTCAGAAGTGCTCAGACAAAACAGTAAATGGAGAAAACTTTAATGGCAAATTACAAAAAGCACTTTGGACAAAAATGATTTAGTCATTTTCTGCCTAAGTCATACCTGAAGATGGAAGTCTTATCCCGCCACACATCTTGAATCATAGAAACAGGGCATGGGTATTTTTGGAACAAACAATCAAACAGGATCAGAGAGGGTGTGCTGCAGCTCAGAGCTTCACACTTTTACACAAGTTGTTCATTCACTTATTAGTCGTGCATGCAGTAAGACAATGCATAAACTCACAGTACGGTGATGTTTTCTATCTGAATGCAGAGTCTCATGTAAGCCTCAAACATCTAAGTAAATAAACAGATCAATGGAGATATTCTTTTTTTTGTTGAGAAATCGAAACTGCAGGCTCTCACTGCAGTATTTCCCCCTTCCAGAGCTTTATCGTTATTCTCAAATGCATCACTAATGAACTCATCGATAAAATCCTAGAGCAGAGAATAATGACTCTCTATATGTCAGTGCTGAGTATCTGCCGCTGTGGTTCACAGGTTTCCACACTTTGAATTTCAAAACCCCCTCTGGGGTTCCAAACTATTAGAAAATGGCTTTCATTTGTTCGCTGCTCCTGCTGCGGCTGGAAATAAGTTCATACTCAAAGTAATAGACCAAAGTTATTATAGACAATAATCAGGAATAGTTCTTAAATAAATATATATAATGATTACTCAGGTTTCAACTGACTATTTTGTTTGAGCTCTCAAGATCTTGGGAATCAATGTTCTCCATCATGAATAAACTGTAAAATGCACAGAATAAAAATGTTGAGTTATGTCTCCTAAAATACACATTTGTTTTTTCTTGTAAGACGATGCATTCTGTTTTATCTCAACATTTAAGCAAACCTTAAATACAAAATAAGTCCACATTTGAAGGATAATACCACCCTTTTGCAAATCATTGGCCATATCAATGTATTTATAACATTGATATTACTCGCATATATGTCCATTAGGTGTTAGCTTAGCTTAGCTCAGCTCAAGGCCTATAAACAGGGGGGCACGGCTAACTTTGCTTTGTCTCATTTTCAAAAGATATTCTATGTGTGTTTTTCCTAGCCTACTATCACATTTCTCATGACAGGAAGTTCACAAGTTTAAAAAATATTTTCCACATTCATTTGAGATTTTGCACCCACACATGCACACTGACTAATGTATAGTAGTTTCCCTATGACACTCTTAGTGATCATACAAGGAAAGTGGGAGAAAAATAAGAACTAAAGAGGACAGAATAAGAGCTCATCCTCCTTAGTAATTTACTCATAAGAGAGAGAAGCATGATGTGTGTAAGAGTTCATTTCAAGGCAGCAATACCCCACTCAGCAAGGCCTGTGTGGGTATATGTGTATGATTAAGAGGGTGTGCAAATGAAGGAGTGAGTCTCTACTCCATCACATAAGTGCTGCGAGAACTCTCGTGACAAAGGAGTGGTGGAGAAAATGAATTTGTGCTCTGATAGCAATGCGTAGGAAAAACCTTATGACTGGATCTTCCCTCGGTGTGCTACACGTCCTCTTTAATGAGTTTCTATTTCTGGAACTTATTCATTCTCATGTATGAACATATCTTCTAGGTGATCTGGTATCCCGGGCCATGCACCACCTGCAGCCCCTGCACATCAAGAACTCCAGCAACGGGACCCCGGTCCACCAGAAGACCCCCAACACCACAGTGCACTGGGAGCCCGAGGCCCTCTACACCCTGTGTTACTTCATGCACTGCCCACAGATGGAGTGGGAGAACCCCAACGTGGAGCCCTCCAAAGTCTCCTTACAGACCGAGAGGTGAGTCCAACAGAAACCACACGTTTTGGTTTGGTCTACAACCAAGAACAGATTGCCAGAAAACTTGTTTGCAGTGGACCAAGAATCCATATCTAAGTCCAAGTAAATAATGTGGTGTTGGATTGGTTTTGGACATGCTACTAGAGGAAACTTCTTCTGATCAATATATATATAACACACAATGCCATGTACAGTAGGTCTGGCTACCAATGTTGACACAGAAGTGGCTGTTTAATTTGTTGAGATAAACATCATTTTCCATTCTTTGTCGCCTACAAAATTATATTTTCATGTAACTCAACTGCAAAATCATTCAAGTCTTTCATATATGTGGTTGATGTTAAACCTCGTAAGACAAATAAAATGCATCAAGACTACTTGGTATTATTCAGACAAAACAACTACAAGGTTTAGTAAAAGTTCCCTCAAGGATCATTTGAACCCTTCTAAAACATTTACCCATGTTGGCTTTGAGGGCGTTTAAAATGGGACAAGCCACAGCATACACCAAAGTTTCCCAAAGAGCCAAAAAAAGAGCCATATTGATCCATTACATTGTCAATTAGCTAACTTGTACAATATGATATATTATACTTCGCCTCCCCTCATCAGGCAATAAATCAAGCAGTAAGATGATTTCGGTGAGAAATGTGTGTGTAAGTCGAAATCCAATCTCCCGAAACATCCATCACCAACATTTCTGGCACACTCTACACACTGTAAAAGCTCTCCGTCTTGATAGGTAAACACATATATCCTTTCAACCATATTGCCTCTGTCAGTGAGAGCCGCTCCTGAGCTAGATTAATTTCAACTGGACTAAAAGGTTAGTACAGATATTTAGACTGTATAAGATGCTGCGTGGGCTGGTGACACTTCCCGATCAGATTGATGGGAACGGGACTTCACTGGGATGGACGGATGGACAGATTTTTCCATCAATCCGAGGAGATAAAAACTCCTTCCTGACGTCCCTGGGGAGCAGTGGGAATGTCAGGCGGAGTGACATGTCAGCAGGCTCTCTGTCCCACGGAGAGAAAACTCTATTTAGCATTCTGCTGAAAGGTTGAAGCCGAGTAAAAAGTGGAATAAGAGTGAGGGGGAATATGATTATGTGAGTTAGGGTTTGTTATTCTCTTTTTAATACCATATTTTCTTGGAATTTAGACCACTGAAAGCACAAGATAAAATAGTATAACATTTAAGGTCATTTCAGACAAGGCCTAGATGTATCTTTGTCATGCATTACTATTTATTTATAATGGAAATGTGTTATTCATCCTTCAGGAAATTGTTTGATGGTTAATTTCCCTTTGGCTTCATGATGCTTGAAAGGTGGGAGGATGTTTTTCACTTCCACCCTTGATGAAATATCCAAGAAACACCAGTGCTCATGCTAGTACTAATGGGGATCCTCATAAAGACATGAAGCTTGAAATATGCCTTTGTAGGGGAGATAAATTGCTAAAAATATTTGTATTACTCCAATTGTTTTACAATGTAACAAACGTGAAGAATCTAGATGAATTTTAAACAGCAATTGAGCTGCAGGAGATTTAAGGTAGTGATATAATCTGTATTTTGGCCCAGGCGTTTGTTTCCAAGGAGGGATTTCTGCACTGGCAGCTCTGGGTGTTGGTTGTCGCTGCAGGCCTGCCGTCTGAATCATTGGATGAAATTCCCCTCCCTCTTTTTCAACAGCCAGATATGTCTTTTTGGGGAGGCAAACATCAGTTAAAGCATAAGCTCTGAGCAAAGGGAGGAGGTTTGCACATTAGTCAGCCAACTGCTAAACACCAGCAGAGACCTTTCTTTTTTTAAAACCCTTGCCAAAGTTCACATTTCCTGGCAGACTGTAGGTGTAGAGACGAGTATAGCTTTGGTGGTGGAATCTGATTCACACAAAAGTCAAACACAGTGTGTCAATATATAAAAGCTGCTGCCTTGATTAAACATGTGCTCACAGTAAACCACAGAAGGACCAGGCAGCTGCATGCACAGTAAACACAACAATCCCAAATGGTTTCTCTCAGTTGGGTATGTGCTTCTGTTCAAGAAATGTTAGAAATTGTAGTTGCCAAAGGGTCATGAAGGAATAACTCTCTACAGGGACCTTTACTGATGGGTTCCTAATATAATTGAACTGACTGTGAACATGAAATTGGACAATTTAATTTAAGGTTTCCTAATGTGCATCTGCTTCGTGGTTTTAAAAGCCCTAAAGGAACATTAGTCTTATTACATTTAAACTGAGATCTAGTGAGTCAGAGCTACTCTTCATTTCATTTCAAACCTTTCTTGAACCAGGTAGGTCCCATTGAGATCATTGATCTATTTTTCAAGGGAGACCTACAGCAAGTAGGTTACACATGAAACATAAAACAATAAAGGACGTCATACATCATATTTACAGGGCTACATTTACATACCTATCGACATTTAGAAGTACCAACAGTATCAAAGAGCATTTCAACTATCCGAGCTTTAAAAACATGCAATATCAAATCAAATCAAGTTTTATTTATATAGCACATTTTAAAAACGATCTTTGGTCGAGCCAAAGTGCTGTACATACAATAAAAACACTTTACAATAAAAACACTTTACAACAAATACAACAGCAAAAATCAAAAAAATCACACACAGGGAAATGTCAGGAGTCGCAATGGAACCAAATATCTCAGTTTCAATTATTTTACACACAAGCAAGCAAGAGGAGCTGCGCACAGAAAAGCTCTCGTACCTAAGTCAGTCCTTGCACTTGGCATATGTAACAAGACCACATCATGTGATCTCAGGCAATAGCTACCTGCAACTCTGTGTGATCAGAGAGCAGATATACGATGGGAGTTTACCAACCATGGCTTTATATATGAACATGTACCAATGACTGAGCCCCGTACAGTAAGTGAAGGCAAACCTGCCCTGGCATACAGCTGCACTATAATGAATGTTCCCTGTAAACTACTGTAAGTGCACGTGCTTCTAAATGTATCCTGAATAGTTGAGTTCATAGGGTCAGAGTAATAATGGTTGAGTACAAAAAGGAACAACATCAAGCTAGTGAAAGGTTTTTTTCATCTGCTTTAATAATAGGGACTTCCAAAGGCCTTTATAAGCCATATATATATACCAAAGACGTTCCTTTTGTCATCACTTCACTTAGACAGATGTAAAGGATTGACTGAAGGTACACTGCCATCAGTAACACAGATCTATGAACTCCATCAAGTCGAGTAAAACAGTCTGTTGTCTTTGTTTTGTTAAAGAAAACGTATTTTCTCATGGATTGTGGGGGCGGATTTTGTCTACCTTTTGATAAGGATAGCTATTTCATAATGCTAAGCTAACTGATTAATAGTGATGAACTGACGTTAAATGTCTGATGAATGACTGACCTGAATGTCGCTGCTGTTGCTCTGTGGGGGGGAAAGATGAACATCAGACAGAACAAATAAAGAGAGAAAAAGATGAGGTGATTTGCGACACACACACATTCTGGAAGTAAATTATGAAATAAGGACATGTCAGCCAGGCAAGACCCATTACTGATTTTGATTAAAGAAGGTAATAACGAGGTTGAGGGCGGTTGCAGTATCCATATATCTTCCTCTTCTGGAAGTGGTGAGTTATTAATTATGAATATTGATTTGGTTTGGCTGCCTTTTCAGTTATCTGTAAGGGCATCATTCATTAGAAAGTTTGTGTGCTATCAGTCTCTGTCAGGTGATTTCATTTTAAGGTGAACATAGCAGCAGTGTGTTTTAAAGATTAAGTGGTATTTATTCATTTTGACATACTAAATTCAGGTTAATCATTCTACTAATGTGACCTGACCTCTATGATTCTGTGTTTTTGTACAGTTTTAGTCATAGCTTGTATGTGCATATTTATGACTGTATGCTCGAAAACCACAATATGTTTTAAAGCTATTTCAAAAGCTTCAGTTGACCTTGACACTCTAAGTATCGGTCATTCTCCTTCATCAGAAGAATGTTACTAAATCCTGACCAATAGAGCTGTGAAAAGCTTAAAAGAGCTCAAAAGCTGAAATCTCCTACGTGAAAAAAACCCCCAACCTGTTCCACCTTTGATAGGAAAAAGTGTATTCATGTGGTATTATTGTAAGTAACAGATAAATCCCTTTTTCTCAATAGTTTAAAGTAATTTTTTGTATCCTTAAATCCAGTTTTATTTCTAATTTTCCATCAGATGCATAAAAGGCTTATCTGGGATGCATAAGCAAAGAATGTATGTAAAGTTTGCACATTTGAACAAACTTTTGTTTCCCCCTCAGGCCGTTCCTGGTCCTGCCTCCCCTGATGGAGTGGATCCGGGTGGCGGTCGCTCACACGGAGCATCGAAGAAGCTTCTCTGTGGACAGCGACGATGTGAGGCAGGCCGCCAGGCTGCTGCTGCCCGGAGTTGACTGTGAACCCAGACAAATAAAGTAAGAATATTATGCTGTCTGGAGCTGGACTTTAACAACACACACACAGACACTCAAACCCAAACCAGACACTTTTTACGCTGCTATTTACGACAGTCTTGGACTAGTGCACATTTCTCAAAGTTGTTGAAGTGACTGTTATTTTGTATATATTGATTGTTGTGCTTTTATTTATGTCTAAATATGTATAAATGTGTCTGTAGATTGTGTGTGTGTATATATATACAGGTATATATATATATATATTTGTATACATATTTCTATATATCTTTGTTATATTCGGGATTGTGGAAAACGGTAATTCGATCTCTCTGTCTGTACACACAAACTGAAAGATTGACAATAAAGTTGACTTTGACTCAAACCTAGACAATAGAGCAGGCAGGGAGCTGATTGGCTGTAAGCTCTGGGAGCAAGAAGGACACACGAGGCAGATCGTGACTCTGGGATAAATCTTCTCTCTGCATGTTTGTCTCTCCTCCTTTTCTCCTTCACACGGCCCAGCAGTCACAAAGCCTGGCACAATGTTTGTCGGGGACGTTGTTTCTGTGTCAGTGGGTTAAGAGTCAAATGTCAAATACTCACCAAGAAATAATAAATGAAACGGTTAGAGGTGTGAATTGCCAATTAACATCACTTTACATATGTCAGGCATAATTGTCTCGTAACATTTGACAAACATGATGAAACGGCTCCTCTGTGACCCAGTGGCAACATCAGCAGTGACAGCTGCTCACAGCTCGGATTAAGAGGCTTTACGGGAGACAGGAATGAGTAATAATGAGTCATAGCAAAAGCCTTTTCCTGGAGAAAAGCTACTTTAGGAATGAAGGGAAGTAGATAGATATAAGAAAATGTGCAAAGAGCTCAGTACTTGAATTATACTCGAACATCCCAGTGCATTTATTATTATAAGTCCTGTTTCTGTCTCTTCACCATAATGACCTTTTTGTTGATTGTTGTAATTTTTCCATTTGTTTAGTGCCTGTATTCGGTGCAAGTGTGTCTGCTTTAAAGCTAAGCCTTGCCTTTGTAAAAGTAGAATTCTAATGGGAATAATAAATGTTTATAGCATCAGTTGAACTAAACACAATTTCTCATGTTTTTCTAACAGAGTCTGGCCAGGGTTGGAAGAAGTACATACATATTTTACTACCACAGTGTAGAAGAACTCTGTTACAAGTAAAAGTCCTGCATTCAGAAGCAAGTACTTAGCAAGAGTATGAAAGTATTTGCATCAAAATATACCTAAATCACTAAAGATAAAAGCATATTAAGTTTATTTAATGATATACTATGTTGATTGCACGGCAAACTACTGCTGTGCAAAAAGTGTTTAAACTTCAAAAGATGAGGTTTAGCTACAAGTGTTCCCAGTCACTCACAGTCATTTTTCCTCTGCAGAGCAGAGGATTGTTTCTGTGCCACAAGGAAGCTGGACGCCGCCTCCACAGAGGCCAAGTTCCTGCAGGACCTGGGCTTCAGGATGCTCAACTGCGGACGGACGGACCTGGTGAAGCAGGCCGTGAACCTGCTGGGTCCGGATGGCCTCAACAGCATGAGCGAACAGGTCGGGAATACTTAACTACACAGAGCTACATCATTAACATCACACACCTACACAGCAGAGGAGCAGAGATATAAACCAAAATGGATTTTTAAGTATTACCTGGCCGTCCATCCCAGTGCAAACAGATGCTTGGCTCATGCAATGTTCTGAAGGTGTATGGCATGATACAACACACAAATACAACATCTGCATATTTGCTAAAGTCATAATCTTTCATTACTCAGTCAAGATGAAACTTGCTTAATATCCTAACTATGAACTAAACCCAACATTTAAATGAGTGTCAGCATTTCTAACGTCCATTAAAGAAACCTCATAAATACATAATGAGAAGGGCACATTTTGAAAGCGTAGATCTTGCTAAGGCATAATGCCCTAATGCGAAATGTTGATTTGGATTTGCTCCATCATTAAAAACCCAAAGATAGTTTGTTTATCACCACATAAAAGCAGCAAATGCTCACAATAAAAATTCTGCAAGTAATCATCATTGGCAGTTTTGCATTTAAAATGACACAAGATTAATGGATTAATCGTAAAATAGTATTTCACGATTACTAACAGCTTACGGTATGAATCAAACAGGAAATACAGAGGTTTTTCACAAACACACAAAGACTTATAGTAGTTGTTGTTAAATCCTGACTGTTTATCCAACAAATGGAGAGGAAAGGCCTGCTCTAATGGTCCATGTGTGCCTGATACCAGAGATGGGAGTAAGTCCTACATGTGCAAGTCATGAGCAAGTCTCAAGTCTTAACCTACAAGTCTCTAGCAAGTCCCAAGTCACTGTGGTGAGAGTCAAGCAAGTCAAGTCATTGCTCAGGTCAAGCAAGTCACAAGTCAAGTCATACGACATTCTGATGAATAACCCCAGTTTCCGCATTTAAATCAGNCACATGGCTCAGCTCGATTATTTTCTGCAGGAATGTCCAATCGATTTTTCTGTTGTGAGATAAGTGTCCCCCCCCCCCACCCCCCCTCCATCGTTGGTGAGAAAACTCTGCCTGAATATGAACAGGTAGTTGCTATGGCAACAAGCGACTGTGAATGCCTGAGCTGAAAAAAGCAGCATTTTTTTTCTTTCTTTTTTTACTGTAAGGAAAAGCACACACATGAGAAAACTCTCTGTGTGCTCGAAGCCCTGGAGCCACGTATCCTCCTCATGGATGACCAGCCATCCAACAAAAAAGCATCCCATCATCGCTGCGTGTTGATACAGTTGGGTAATTGCTGTATACCAGAGAGACATTTATTCTCTCATCAATAATGAATGAATGTACTTGGGACTCAGACCACATTAGCGGTGCAATGGCCAAAATGATTAAGCGGCCGACCCAACTGGCTAACTGCAAATGTCAGGGGGGGGCAGCAGGGAGCAGCTTGGTGGGCGATGAATAACACTAGATCCAATCGGGCCCCAATGTGCATTAATGTCTACGATGTGAGGGTATAATTACACGTAACATTTCATTTTTAAAGCTCCAATGTTCATCTGCATCCATATCTCTTTAAAGAAAAATAGACCACAGGGATTTTTGATGTCAGCAACTGAATCATAATGACTCACAATAATATGTAGCCTATACACTATAGACTTATAGCCATATGGACACGCTTATAACGTTTTGTAGAATAAATCCACACTCTGAATGCTGTGTAACGATACCTCAAAGTCCCAAAAGATGATGATTTTTTTAACGGGTAAAGAAAATATGGAGTTTTTTGTTTTATGCAAACACAATTCCCTCATTGATAGAAGTTCATTAAATAAAGTTTTTAAAAGTCATGCAAACAGGGATCCAACACCTTCTTTAATCAAAATTCAAGGACTTTCAATGAATGGCGTAGTTTGAGACTCGGATCAAGGTCATGTGTAATATATTTACACAATATTTGCAAAAGCATTAGATGTGATCGGTAGATGACATAATCGTGTGTCACACTTATTAATAACACCTCTTAGATACATAATTTGTGTGGACAAGGTAATCATTTGTGGCCGCAGGGTTACCCTAACCCAGTTGTAATCTTCTGGGACTTCACAGGCTTTGTAACAAAACATAGCCAGTGCATGATTTTTTTACAAATAGGAAAAGGAAAATAGAAAAACACATTTCTGGATATCTAGCATTAAAGTAGGGCCAATTCTAATAGTACAATAAATATTGCATTTTCGGGAAGTTCTTGGTCGCAATTGACATATTATACAAGATAAATGACCTTCATAAACCGGAGTTTCTCTTGTTATCTATTATTTCAGTCTTCACCAGCGCTGATTACCAGTATTGTACGTATGTACGGATTTCTTCTCATGGTGACAGTAATCTCAGAGTAACTCCACTACATCAGGGTTAATAGCTCAGTTAGGAGTTATAAAGGTTTATTTCTCAGCGCCTGCTCACTCTGCAGACAGAAGACATACAAAGTGTCACAATTATCTTTCTCACACAGCGTGGGAGCAGCTCCTAATGGAAGTCTCAGCATGCTTTCACCTAAAAGAGGTGCCATGAAGGTCCTTTAGCTTTTATGAAGGTGCCCTCACGTGCATCCAATCTTTTTTTAAATGCTGAAGTCAAATGCATCAATCTGGTGCACTTTGAGCACAAAATGAATCTCTCTCTCTCTCTCTCTCTCTCTCAAAAACACAACCCAGGAAGTATGCAAAAAAAATTAAAGGTTGCCGTTTTCTATCTTTGGGTGAAATGATAGTATAACTGTTGTATTTCGCCAAGTCATTACGTCAACTGTCCAATGGATATCGACTCTACAGTCTTCAGACTTTACAACATTTCCTGGATTGCTTTTTTTGTAATTCCTGCTAAGGGGGATGTATAGTAAGTGTATCACTTGGCATTACAACAATCAAGTCTAACTTGGACGCTTGTCATCACATACTAAGTGTAAGAATTGACACTATAGAGCAGTGCTTCTCAAACTTTATTCAGTAATGTACCCCCTTTGAAACATTTTCTCAGCCAAGTACCCCCTGACCGACCCCGGACATTTTTGATATTAAAAGCCTATATAAATAATTACAATATAGTGATGTTCCATCAGTGTTTGATTTATGAACTCCTTCATGTACGCATTACAACAAACTAAGGATATTTTCATCTTTATGCATGAAAACCAATGAACAAAACAATACATTATGAAAACAAAATATATTATGAAAAACTATAATCCAAAAAATTTGACATGTTTATATGAGGACCCCCTTAGTGGTTCTGGGAATATTTTATATCAAAATGTGTTTTCTATTTAACTTATTGTACAAAGATTATTTTTGTAATCATGCATGGTATTTTTTTAATTAACCTTTTTATTTATTTTTATCTCACGTACCCCCTGCATTACCCCAACGTACCCCTAGGGGTTCGCGTACCCCCATTTGAGAATCACTGCTATAGAGAATAGAAAAAAGTTCCCACCAATCTGTTTTTGTGTAATAAGAGCTTCAGCCTCATGGGGCTGCTGGTGTGGTTTAACAGCTGTGTTCTTGTTTAATCTTCAGTTGCTGCTCAATAACCTCAACATTTCTCAATCTGCTCATTAGCATTTGAATGCTCCACTGTTTACCATCACTCCATTCCAGTGAAAGATTCCCTTCTCCTCGAGTCAGTGTAATATCTTCCAACAAGATGAGCCCTCACGTCCTCATAAATATCTCAAAACAAATAAATGATTCCGGCCATGTAATGAAAACATGCAGATGTGATTACTTGGAAAGGTTTTACAGCATAATGCTCAAACCCTCTCTGCATGTGTGTGCCCTCAAACAACTCAAGAAAAAAGTCCTGAAAGAAAGTTTCCACACATCTCTACAACTGAAGATGTGCTTCAAACTAGAAGTATGCAAAATGGCTCCTTGCTAAAATGTTATATCTGTGTTTACATGTGTTAGTGGTGCTTGAAGAGTATGCGTCATATTTTATTTGTTGATTGTTTGTGTTTTTTATGTCAAATCTGCAGTGTCAGTAGTAACTATAGCTATTGGGGGAAGTAAAATTGTCCTATGAAGTGAAGTGAAAAAAACTACAGCTCAAATAGTAGCAGTTTGTCTATCAACCCATTCACCAACAACATGATACACATGTAAAGCACTTCACAAGCTTATTCTCAGTGGCCTGATGATATCCAAGGATGTCTATGGTAGAGAAAACCTTCTTCTGACAGAAAATAAAGATGAATGAGTCTGACATCAAATCTTTAAAACCTGACCTGTTGACCACATAGTATTAAAGCTCCCTTGATAACATTAAAACCCCTTAATATAATTCCCTTCACTTCTCGCTCAACATAATAGCTAGCTACAGATATCACGCATTACAGGAGAGGTTTTTTATGGAGAGAAGATAGACTTCTACACAATTTCCCAAAAATCAGAAACATCAGGTGAGCTGAAATCTTAGTATTTCATCCTATAAATCCATATGTTCTACGTTATAATTCAGAAAACCCCCACAACATGAACATGGTATGGTCTTCGAAGGCTTTGTTGTTTCTTAATCTATCTGCAGTGATCAACATTATGAAGAGGCTAATCCTTCATCCTTTGGGCATCTTTATCACGCCAAGAAATATGGACTGCAGGTGGCCCGCCAGATGCCTTGCTGTATTTTACAATCTCCATTCAGAGCCGTATCATAGAGGGAAATTAAATAAGCACACAGCCTCACACCTTTGTGTCTCGCCCATCTTGTCAGTCAGTTTGTTGTTTTTGCATTATGCAGATTATATATATTCCAAACGAGTGGTCTGCAGTGCTGTCTGTTCTCAATGGAGCTGTGTGACTCATCCTAATCTCTGGGGGCGAGGAGGCAGAGTAATGCAATCAGACCAACAAAGATATCAGCCGGCGTGTAAAGAGGAAGGAAAAACAGTGGAGCCATTAAGTGGTCTGACAACGAGAAACTGAACCCAATGTAGTTATATTACCCATCATTTCTAGCAGATGTTCAAAACTGAATTTTCTATTTTGAATGAAACCTTTTACCTCACTCAAATTCACT